CCCGCGCCGTGACTACGCCGCCACAGTGCCCCGGCTACTGCACAGCCTGGCCGACGGTGCGCACGGCCTAGCTGAGGCGCCCCTGGGCCTTCCCGGGCTGGCGGCGCCACCTGGCCTGGAAGATCTGCAGGTGAGACTCGAGGGGTCTGGGATGGCTGCCCACCTCCCCCGCTCCCTCTGGCTGCGGCGATTTAGCAACCTGGCTGGAGGTAAAAAGTGACAAATGCAGGGATATAACTTTTCTCCCACTTCTCCCACTCGTGACTCCAAGATACGTCCCACGTCCTGGTTTAGACACTGCCCGCAGTTTAAAGGTAGCCTGGCACTTTGTCAATGCGTGGTGCCTGCGCAACTCTGAGCAGGGAGGGATCAAATCTCTTCTCTTTCTTCCGGTGTGCCATTGAGCCACGTTGGGCATCCATTCCCGTCTGATGGGCAGTCTTCTGGGGCATCCTGCTCCTGGAGCGAAGGGAGGAGCAGTAGTTGCTTGTCTAAGCCACGGTGAGTACCCAGGATTCCAGCTTGGCGCCAGATAGATAGTGCCAGCCACGGCTATCCCGGTCCCACCCGTCGCCGCCTCGGGCGGCTGTGCAGCACGCAGGGCTGAGCGGACAGAGATAGGGGCAGCAGGGGCTTGGGAAGCAATAGACTAGATTTACTCACGCCCTCACTGCCACCTTCACCTACTTGCAGGCCATGGATGAGCCGGGAATGAACCTCCTGGACCAGTCTGTGATAAAGAAAGGTAAGGAATGGCATGTAACTGCCAGGGCAGAGCCAGGCGAGATAGTGCAGGCCCGGGGAGCACAGACCCATTTTCTTCACTGCCGCCAGTGCCTCCTGTGAACATTCTTCACGAACCCTTAGAGGGACAGCGAAGGCTGCAGGCCTGGCTAGATATTGGGCAGTAGAGCGGGGTCTGTGATTTTGTCGTGAAGCCTGCCGCCTGCGGTGGCCTGAGTTGGGTCGGCTCCCTTGGCTGCGACTCCTGGGCCTGGCCTTCCCTCGCCAAGGGGAGGGCGCTCTTGTGGATCTGGAGTTAATTTGCAGAACGAGTTAAACCACTTCCCTATTTCCTAAGAGGTGGGAATGGGAGTGTTGTTCCACAGATTTTTGTAGATGATTTCCACTTTACAGAGCGTTAGCATTTTGGAGCTTAGCAGTGGCTCTCCTACCCTTCCTTCCCTGAAGAGCCTTGAGGCCCTTTCAGTTTTCTGCTAGGGAATTTTCTTTCAGCAGGAGCTTCCTGCTGCTAGTAGGCTTAGAAGAACTGAATATTGTTGTATTAGGCTGTATGTTTGTGGGTCAGGGCCTTCGTACTCCTGGATGTCCCTGTCTCTGTTAGAGTTCAAAGTCCTGTACATGTCCACCTGTTCCTTTCCCAGGTGTCGATATTTCTCGGTATGTCTTTGTTAGTGTGAGTGTATTTGTAATTTGCATCTTTGTACTTTGGGGTACATTTCGGTTTGGAGTTCTCAGTGTATGTTTCAGGATCTCTGTTGTGTCTTGGAATTTGTCCTTTGGTATCTGATAATTTCTAGACGTGTGAGATTCCCTTCCTGTAAAATTTCCAGGTGTCCTTTTGCATTAGTAAAATCAAGGGTATGAGACACAACCTTGAGTGGCTTTTGGGGCCTGAGGACCAAGTGAGTGAGTGAACCTAGGTTACCTGTCCTTGAACCTGGGTGGGGGCCAGGAACTGGGGAATTTCAAGGATGATCTTATCTCCCGGGAACAGTGGACCAAGTATAATGGAAGACTCTTGGAGATAGTACCTTCTATTAGGACAGGAGCTGTCCACTAAGCCAACAAAGCCCTGCTAGTTGAGCTGGGTGGGGTGCACAGTGTAGTTGCTGGTGTCTCCTCACAACCTCAGCTATTGGTGACATCCCAATTCCTGGAGGTCCCCACCAGCAAGTTCTGGGAAGCCTGTCTTGAGGAAGGGTAAAACAATCTGCTGTTGCTCAGAATACCTTAATCCTGAATTATGGCTAGGAACCAGAGCTGGTTTCTTTCAAAGGACATCAGGTTCCAAAACTCTTGAATCTTAGATGCGACCCGAAATCCCCTAATGCAGTCCCAGAGACACAGTGAGTGTCTGGGCGCTGCGCGCTCGCTTGATGGATCCAGCAGGAGGCACGGATGTGAGTTCGCACACCTGCTGGATGGCAATGCCAGATCTCAGGTGGCCTAGTGGAGCGAGATGGAAAGCCGGTAACCTAAGCGGGGAACCTGAGTTACAGCCCAAGGCGCTGCAGCAAAACGGGAATAAAGGGGCCAGGGCCCCGAGCGCTCGTTCTTGTGCCGAGAATTAGCCAATCGGCCTCCAGGCAGACGTTTGGGGAGTAGAGTCGGTGCCTGAGCTTGCGGTCCTAGCAAAAGCCAAAGTACTGCTGGCTCCCGCGGTGTCCACCTAGAGGAGCCGCTGCGGCGACGAAGGCGGCTCACCTTCAGTCTGGCACCCAGGAGCCTCGTCACCCACCCCACCCACCCCCCCACCCCCGCGCGCAGCGGGCAGTTTGCCCTGGTCCTCTGCGGTCGCTGCGGGACCCGGCCTCATCGCTAGCCCCGCGGGTCTCCAACTGGGCAAGGGGGTAGCGCCTTTCTTCGTCTTCGGACCCTTCGGAGAGCACTGGAAGTCCCTGTTGTTTCCTGGGGAGCTCCAGCGCCCTCCGGGTGTGATGTGGGACCCCATTCCGCCCGGGGCCTTAATTATAGAAAGTTACTCTTGGCCAGCTGAAGCGTCCCACTCTTCTAGGTCCTCAGCATTGGCTGGAGGGGCGGCTGCGTTACAAAGGGTTAGGGTCCTGCATAAGAAACCCGGGCCACCCCACCCCGCAGCAGACAGATCCTTGGGCCTCCATCTCGCCTGTGCCACGCGGATGTGAGCCTGGAAGCCCTAGGGGCCCAGCCCGGGATTATGCAATCTTGGCAGATGCCAGGCACTTGCCCTGGAGAGGAGGGCCCGCGCCGCGCAGACCCACCAAACACTTCCACGTCTGCCCCTTGCAGCCACAACTTGGGTTTGGGGGTGGCAAACTGGATTAAGGCCTAACAGAGGGGAAATTGGGAACCCTCCATTTTCTGCGCACAGTTGTCACCTCCAGTTTTGCAACCCGTCCTAGAGAAACAGAAAGCAGGCGGTAATGGTAGGGGAAAGAGCTGCGCAGAAATATTTTCCAGCCGAGGAAGGCGGGGTGGGTGGGTGAGGGTGTCTGTGCAAGACACCATAGGAACTCACAGGACAACGAGCGGAGCCAGCCGCAAGCGCCTGAGGTCAGGAGGCTTCCTAGAAGAGAGATTTTAGCCAGGTGCAATGGGTGGGTGCTCAGTGGGTACTAGGTGATGGGATTTTAAGTCTGAGTAAATTGGGAGCGAGAGTATGGAAAGGGCCGATCTACTTTTACCCCGTACTGGGTAAAAAGCATGTGCAAATGCCCTTCCTGTGGGAAAACCAGATAGGATAAAAAGAGTCAAAAGTTTGTGTAGGTTTCATGTTATACAGTCACAGCTGGAAGGGCGTGGTTTAGAGTTGAGAATTGAATTGCATCCCTCCTTCTCTCCCAGAAGAGAGTGGGTGATTGCCCTCTTCGAAAGCAAGAAAATCAATTGTTCAATCTCATGGGGTCTCCCCGACAGTGGCTGATGTCACTAGCTCCTCTGCCTTCTTGGGCTCTGGGAAGGTTCCGAAAGTTAAGGAGTGAGGTACTCACCATATGAATCAAGATAAGTAATATCTTAATGCAATATTTAAAATTTTTAAAAATGCAAAAATCTATAACAAACATAATATCAAAATCTTACACAAAGACAGAATCTAACCCTGCACTTCCATAGCCCTTCCTTACTTGCCTCCCAGGCTGCTGTCTGCTCTAGAAAAAAAACAGTGGCAATGCAGATAGTTTGGACTTAACCTGAGGACAGCGGCAGCCATGGAAGAGTGTGAAGAAGGGGGGGAGAAGGGATGAGAGTATGTTTAAAAGAAATCCTCTTGCAGTTGTTGAGAAGGAAACTTAACCAGCAGGTCCTACTGGGGTAGAAGACGCAAGAAGGCTGAGGGGAAGGGTCACTGCCCCTCCTGTTTGCCTTTCTCCTGCTGCAGCCACACACTCAAGGCTTTGGACTCCTGGGACCCTAAGTGTGAACTACAGAAGCAAAGGCATCAAGATCCCCTGGTGGTGCTGGCTAAAAATGTAGTTCTGGCTAGCCCCTGTGCACTCGCCTATAATCCCAGCACTCCAGAGGCTGAGGCAGGAGGATCTCAGGTTCAAAGCCCAGCCTCAGCAATTTATTGAGACCCTAAGCAACTTAGCAAGTCTGTGTCTCAAAATAAAAAATAAAAAGGGCCTGAGATGTGGCTCAGTGGTTAAGCAATCCCTGGTTCCAAAAAAAAAAACAAAACTGTTTCGGGGGGCCTGGGGTTGTAGCTCAGTGATAGAGCACTTGCCTAGCATGCGTGAGGCACTGGGTTCAATCCCTGGCACCACATAAAAATAAAATAAAGGTATTGTGTCCATCTGCAACTAACAAAAACAAAAGGCTGTTTCTAGGCACCTCTCCACATCTGAATGAGAATCCCTAAAGTATGGTCCTAGAACTTGCACTTTAACTGATGATTGAGGAAACATTTACATAGCTAAAATTCATTTGTTGTATGAATATTATTTACTTTTAGTAAAATGTACAGAGTTGTATAACCATTAGCACAATTTATTTTGAGACATTTGTCACCCCTCAAAATTTCTTTATTGCCATTTGTAGTTAATCTTCATTCTCCAGCCAAGCCTTAGGCAATCACTGATCTGTCTGTAAATTTGCATATCCTGAACATGTTGTATAAATACAATAGATTATATGCAGACTTTTTCAGTTCTAGCTTCTTTTACTTAGCATTATGTTTTTTGAGGCTCATTCTTGTAACATATATTAGTATTATTTTTTTGGTACCCAGGATTGAACCAGGGGCACTTAAACACTGAACCACATCCCCAGTCCTTTTTATATTTTATTTAGAGACAGGGTCGTGCTTAGTTGCTGAAGCTGGCTTTGAACTTGTGATCCTCCTGCCTCAGCCTCCCCAGTCACTGGGATTACAGGCGAGCGCCACCTTACCCAGCCAGTAAAGCCACAAAGCCAGTAAAGCTGTTTTAGAAAACATATCTTTATTTTATTTTTATGTGGTGCTGAGAATCGAACCCAGTGCCTCTTCTTTTCATTGCTGAGTAGTATTCTACTATATGTAACACACTTTTGGGGGGTCAGAGGCTGGGGAATTGAACCCAGAGTGCTGCTGTAACACTGAGTTACATTCCCAGCCCTTTTAATGTTTCATTAAGTAATTTCAGTTACTTAAGACCTCACTAAGTTGCTCAGGCTGACTTGAATTTGCAATCCTCTTGCCTCAGCCTCCTGAGTCCCTGGGATATTAGGTGTGCACCACCAACCACATCCATCAACACATTTTATTTAACCATTGGTCACTTGATGAGCACTTGAGTTGTTTCCACTTTTTGGCAATTGGGAATTGCTGTAGACATTCATATACTTGACTTTGGGTAGACCTGTGTTCATTGCTGTTGGGAAAATTCCTGGATATGAAATCTTTGGACTGTATGGTAAATATATGTTTAATTTTAAAGAAACTGCCAAGCTGTTTTCTATTTTATTTTGATTTCTTTCTTTCTTTATTTTTGATGCTGGGATTGAACCCAGGGGCGCTTTAGCACTGAGCTATGTCCCAGCCCT